GATAGTTATCTCACGTGAAATTCTTTGGTATATCTTATAATTAGCTGCAGTGAAGTCTCAAATTATTAGATTACATTTTTAAATATTAATGAATTATAATATTTGTCTAGTAATTTGATTTGGTTAGATATTTGTAAATTTTTTTACTTTTGCAAATTTTAAAAAATGCAAATTATAATTTCTTCGGAAATCTATTTTATTGCAAGAATTAATCAGATTTAGCTTTAATGCTAAAACTAGTGATATTTGCAATTTATATAACTTCCGCAGATCTTATATTGTATAATATTAAAAGGCGCATCATTTTCCATTTGCAAATTAATCGCAAAATATGTATATACAAATCGATGTCGTGGAACTTTTTCGTATTTCTCGAAGTTGCTTTCCGGACGTAAAGTTGACATGGAAAGACTCGCGAATGCTCTCCTTGTCGTTTCCGTGAGATGCATAGCGATATGCGCTTTTGAAGGCGGAAGCCATACGCTTTTGAAGAGTCGCTATAAATTTGTGTTTGGATCACGGCAAGAAATCCGTTATTTCATGCGTGACCTATTCGATTTATACAAATTCTCAATCTTCGCGAAATTTACAACGAAAAAAGGGCTGTTTCCTTTGCTACTCTTTCATCTTCTATTCATAAAATCTGCCTTCATAAAAAAACACAGTTGGATGCGTTGTTTATCATACTATGTCGCAAATTGTTAATCAACATGGCAGCGTATTTTCTCTCTGCAATTATTGACACGTTTAACACGCTGGCATTATATTACTCGTGTAAAAAAGAGAACACCTTCGCTTTGCGTAATATATTGAATCAATCCGAAAGCACATTTCTATATTTCATAGCACGACGTTTAATTGGCTATTAGCGAATTAACGGAACTTGCCGAAAAGCTCATGTTAAATTAAATATGGAATTAAATATGGAATACGTAAAAATTGGATTCGCGCGGCTACTTTGTTTTTTGTCGCATTATAGATCGCGCGCGCACAAATAGTTACTAATTAGCTTTTCATTAGCGGCATCGTTAATAAATGTCTCTATCAAAATAATATCGCCGACCAGTTATTTCCGGCCATTACTGACGCGTTTTAATCCGCATTAAAATCGTACGCGCATTATTATTTGTATATGTTATTTACGCGACCATTTGATTAGAAAATAATTGATGCGCGTAATTGAACGTGGTATTTACAAATTTTCAGCGATTTACACGCCGCATTGCCAATGGGTGCATCTGTACACGCGCGCGCGCGCACGATCGTATTAAGCGATTAAACTAATGATAAAATAACCGGACGAGCAATTAAATGCGCAATTCTATAATTAATGTTAGACATGTGAAAGTAATGAACCTAATGTAATGAACTCCGTAATTATCACGATTGAAGCGGATCTCGAGTCAAAAGCCGTAGAAGATGTGCAAGATTACTGCCTCAAGCGTTTCGCTGAAAAAATTCGAGCAAGAGCAAAAAAAAGAAGTGATTCTCACAACGATAAACGTGTGAAAGTAGCGCTCGCAAAGCTCACTTTGCGACACTCGATTGGTGTTGGCGTGAAGTCTTTTGAAGTTGCAGACAAACTTCGGGCTATTGCTCGCGCTTTCTCCGCCGGCGTGAAGGATTCCTCGGAGATCCTTAAGTTATTCAAGATCGATCGTCGTCCCTCTCGTGAAGTTACATGGCGCGTTTTTCTCGGTTGATTACGTCTGCGCGAATCGGCAGACAGCAACGCCAGCAACGTGTAATTCACGAATTTTCAGCGTCGCGACGCGTCTCCTCGCGTGTCGGGTTAACGCGTCGTACAAAAGAATTCTCGCAAATTTTCACTCACTTTCGCTGGAGAGAAGAGGTAGAAACTTTTATCTTACACGTGTTATTTTTATGGACAGAAAACAAAAAGAAATAAAGAGACCCGTTTTATCGTTGTCCATCTTTCGATTTTCCTGACTTTCAGAACTATTGATATATTTTATCACGCAAAACTTCAAGAAAAGCACTTAAAATCTAACTTTTCCGCGTCTGATGTATTATAGAGAGCGACTCAGATTCATCCTTATTTATATTTAACTACAGATTCTCCGACAAAATTGATGTACCACGTAGAAACTTTATCTTTCGCGATGAAGTGACGGACAGTGGAAACGGACGAACCGAACCAGACATACGGGCAAGTAGAAAGACAAACGATAGGTCGTACAAAGTGTTCGCGAAAATATTTAATAATATATCCAGATTAATATTTTATAATTATATGTACTAAATACAATTCGATCTCATAATTTGTTTAGAAATATTTTGTTACTCTGAGCAAAATTCGTTACGGAGCACATTACATTTATTGAGCGATGTAACCGGATGAAAGCTGGCTGCTCGCTTTTCCGTCCACGAAATTCGTCGTTCATTTCAATCCACGGCCGTGACTTCGTGTAATATTTCATTCCTCTTTTCTAGTCTCCTCGGAGACCATCGTGGTCGTGTGCCTCTTTACAACAGGCGCACGACGACGAGAATTAGCGTTTTCAGCAGCGTGGCGGAAACGGGCGACGCGCATTAAGCTCCAGCAAAGCATACGCGACCTCGAGTTTTGATTTTCCGTGAGATCAGATGTCATCCCATATACATCCCGCGATGCAGAGTGCCTCAGAAGTTGCGCGGTATTTCCTCATAAATTTGTTGTCGCGTCCAATCTCATTAACTCTTCACAATAACATCTCTTGACAAGTTTCCTTTGATTAGACGTTATGCTGCATTTCAGATATTTTTTTAAATATCTTGTAAAATCTTAAACAAAATTTAAAAAGAAGAGATTAAAAAAGTACCTGAAATCGATTAGACAATAATATTTTATCCCTATTTACATTCGTAACACGTTTCTCCCTCTAAAAACTTTCAGTTTTTAATCGCCTGTTAAAACAAAAACAATCGATATACCTGCGGCGATATAAAATAGCCGCTATTTTTTTTAGTTTTGCTTGTAGTGTATATAGGTTTTTGGAGGGAAGGAAACTATGTGGGATTTCTGATGCACCCTATATATCGTTTTGTTCTTTGGTTCTGCGCTCGCGTCCGCAATGTTTGTAGTACGCGGACAAAGCTTAATGCACTGTCCGAGTAGACGGCGGTTTCGCAAGTTCACGTTACCATCAGACTAATTGGACGCTTTAATATTTGAAACGGAAACAAACGACCTCAGAGTCATTTCCGCCGGTGACGTTTTCTCCCCCGGATGCGTTAGAGAACCTGTCGTTTACCTAGTAATATATCTAGAATTGACATATATACACTCGAGGTACACTTACAAATCTTCCTCTTCTAACAACAAGTATATGATATTTCTAAACGTACATATAATAACGTTTTTATACGCAGAAGTAACTATAAAGTTTTATTTAAAATTTAAATGCATTACACGCGTATTACAGCCAAGGCTAAAATACATATCTCGGCATTTAGGATAAAATTAAATACCGACATTATAATTGCGACAAGTGTGCTCTAAGAAATGTTCTTTATTTAAAAGAAATGTAATAGCATTGACATTACTCATTCGAAATTAACGTGGCTTATTGGGGAGCATTTAATTCATTATCGTCGTACAGTCGAACATTGTTTATTCATGCTCGAACTCGAGACGCGAATCACGGAGCGAAATTAGCTATCTATCTGCTATCCGTCGGATTCATGTCAACACGCGCAATGCGCAATGTATACACGGCGCGAGCGACCGTAGCCGGACGTGATTGTCGATTGATCGGATGCCGATAATCCGATTTCGATCGCTCCCTGATTACTGTCCCGTCGCTTTTTCGTCGGTCGCCATTGAGCGATATCGTTACGCATAATTACGGAAAAATTACAGAAGTGCGTCGGCGTCGCGCTCTCTCGAGCAGCTAACAACCGCTATTGAATTCGTCACGAATCGCACCAACTTGGTCTCATTTCCCGCTTTCTGTATCTGTCATGTATTTAATTAACGTTTACGTCGACGATTAATTATCGACATTGTTACACGTAGCGAGGGAGGGGGGAAAAAAGAAAGAAGGACTGTCAATCACGATGGGCGACATTGAGTGCCAGCGTTCGTTGCCAGCGATCCGCAAATTGTTCGACGATTTTCTCTATGCGAGCAATATTGTTGCTGCACGCTAATTTCGCTTTTGCGAAACGTCGTCCCGTTCACGATTGGATTCCACGCAGAGAGGAGGAGATGAGAGGCGGAGAAAGGGGGGAGGTAAAAAATAATAATATGCAAAACAGTTGCGGCTTGTCAGCGCGCGTGGGGATGTGCACGAATGCCACGCATTCTGACGAAAATTTATTCAGCTTCGATCACAGAGCGCATAAAGCAATGCATCGTTCTATCGTGGCGCGTAATCGAATTCTCTTGCTCCAAAAGCATTGTATGTCACGAACGAGAATTTTTTTTTCCTAGATAGGTACCGCGTTGCACTCTTGCATTGTATTTCGATTCGCGTTTGACATGGCAAACTAGAATGGAATGAAAAGAGCAAATGGAAGGAAGAATCCACTAATTATCCTGAGATCAAATTTTTCAAGAACAGCAAGTGAGAGAACGAGAGAAGAATATAAACGCCAGTACAGGCTCGCAAAATAAAGGGAATCGCGAGTGAACGATACGTAAGGAGAAACACGGAAGTACCGGGGATTCACACGGGGCTGCGCGGAATAATATAAATAATTTTACACGGAATAAAATAAGATCAAGAGCCCGGGAATATAAAATTCGATATATAAAACAAAGGGGAGAGTGCGGAAAAACGAGCGAAGAAGAAGGTGCGCGGGAGGGAAAGGAGAGAAGGAGAGAAAGAGAGAGACATGAGAGAGAGGAGAGAAGCGAGAATATCCGAGGCGCGCCGCGCTGCCATCATCCCTCTGCGCCCCCGCAATCTCTCACCCCTTCCCAACCTCGCGTAGCGGCAGCAACCCCCGAACGGGCAGAACGGGCTCTCCTTCGCCTCAGTAGCGCCGGGCGTCTCGACGCGGCAGCACGTTGCGTTGGGGGTTTCAATACGCAGCTTTGATCGCGATTTCAGTGTACATTCTCACCTTCTCTCTCTCTCTTTTTCTCTCTTTATCGTTCTCTCTCTGTTCACCCGTCAAATATCTATCTCTCCGTCTCTCTTTCTCGTTCTCCACTACTGTCACCCGACATTCCCCCCTCCCCCCGCAACCCTCTCAAGGGTTCACGGCGAGACCCGCCCACCCGCGCGCGAGTGACTTTCCTCTTCCCCCCTCTCCTTCTTCGGCGTTGATTCCCACCCCCCCTCTTCTCTGTCACGGAGGACAACAGCGTTGCAACGCGAGCAGTCGCGTTCGCCGAAATCGCAAAATTGGGAGCGCTTTTCGAGATCGAGAGCCGCGAGCACGAGAAGGGCTAGCCTTTCCGGCCCTTTTTTTCTTTTCTCTGTTCTCTTTCTCACGGTCTTACCGCGCGTAGCGCCCCGTTCGACCAGGGCACGACGAGAGAGACCTGTCGCCGTTATGGGGGAGGACCTGCCCTCCGGAGACGCCCGGCGCGGTTAGTTCTAGGTGGAACCGAGCGAGTTCGCGAAGGCGCGCCAGGTGTAGCGCCACTCGCGCGGCGGTTGCAAGTGACGGTTTCGGCGTTTTGTTTTGACAGTGGCCAACCTGTCACCCGTTTGTCGGGATCGGAGTATCGGAGGCAGTAACTGAGTTGTTTTCGTGTGCCCTGCAGCGCGCTGGAACAGCTCGCAAACGTGGCAACCGTAGTGTGCGCTCCCGTGTGTGTTTCGTTTGGATTGTGTGACTGTGTCGGTCCGTGACGATCGTGCCGCGGAGCGCCCGGCGCCCTGTCAAATTTCTCTGCCGCGTCAACCCTGGTCCCCGAGTGATTAAAGGATTACGCGGAGGAGGTCCTCGAGATTGTGCGCCAGTGACGTTGCATCTCGGAGCAACCTGATCGAGGGAAGGATTTTAAACAGTGATCAGTTATGGCCGTGATGGGGACGACGTCGGTATTTCGACTGGACGGCGGCGGTGGTGGCGGCGGCGGCGGCAGCGGCGGCGACGATCGCGGCAGAAGATCACGTCGATGCAATCCTCGGGCGAGCAGGATGAGGACCGGCGGTCGCCGAGCGTCGAAGGGGTCATCCGGTGTCAAATGTGGATCGGTTGCGGCGAAGCGCGGTGGTTCCGGAAAGTTTCTTCTGGTTGGCGCTGTCCTGGCCATACAATTCGTCGGTGCGGCAGCATTAACCAGCAAGGGTGAGTGCTCCTTCTTTCAAGTGAGCGTCTTGGTCGATGTAGTCGGAGGATAAATCTTTCTGGTTACAACTAGTGTGCGTATATATGTGCGCGTACTTTCTAAGTTGAAATTCTGAGGATAAGATGGCTCGAAGGGAACAGCGGGATATATTGATAAATTGCCTCGAGTTTTTACACGTCGTTCTTGCACTAAAAGACATAAATAAAGCATTTTAATACTTGGATTTAGGAATCCCCCTATAATTCGGAAGATCTTACATAACTCCTGAATAAATATAAGATTGGCCTCCGAACGATATAGAGAGAAAAACTGATTTTCTGTTTTAATATAATAAATAATCGATGAAAAAGTAAATATCGAAAAGGAAGGTCTGTTATTAAAATCACAAAGTTCTGCGCCTTTAATTATAGCCAGGATTTTCTAGTCATTATTTTCGAGAAATACTCTTTTCACTTCTGTGACAGTATATGAAGGACATTTTTCCTATAACGTTTACTTCTACTTATGTTACATATATTATGAAGATCGCGTGTTCAATTTTAACGCAGAACAAGGCTACTTGTAGTCTTTGTACTCGGATGCACGAGACCGAAAACCGTCGCTCATCCTCTGCTGTCGATACCTCATAACCCAATGCCGCGACTTCGACTTTCCAACTTTGGCCGTTATTGGAACGAGTTGTGGGAGAAACGTGCCTGTCGGCGAATTATACCCCCACGTTCGATCCACGAAATATTCTATTGCGAATCGGGGTAATCGACGCTGCCGACGATCGTGGCACACGCCTTAGGAATTCGCTCTTTTCGCCCTCCGAGCAATCAGCCCTCTGGCGCCGATTTCTGATTATCGGACTGTACGACGCAGACGAGACGGGGGGGGGGGGGGGGGGGGGGGAGGGGGCCTCCTCCCCCCTCGTGCCGCGCCCCGTCGGTTTTTGTATTCGAGGTGACCGACCGCCGTAACTGCGTACAGGATTTAAGAGATCGCCTAAGTAATACCGGGAGACGAAGATGCATACCAAGTGATGCAGTGACCCAACCGATTCTCGTTTCTCGCATTCGGATTGCGCCGCGTCAAGGATGAATTTCAGACAGTGACCGGCGAGAAAAATTTTAATATTTTTTTCTACTCTTTTTCTTCGTAACGCGGCGATTGCGACGTCCCGATGTCAACACAGATAAAACGAAATAATTGGCGCAATTAGCGTAATTTCGGAATATAGAAGAAATTCATATTTTTGTCGCGCTTTTTTACATGTTCGAATTATTTGTTAAATACTTTTTATTATTATTAACACGTGAATGTAGTAATTTTTTATTTATTTATTTTTATTAATATTGACATACCAGAATGAAAGCGCGCTACCGATAATATACATATATATAATTGCATTCGTCACACATATTGTTTGAACGCGCCTCGATTGATGATCTCGTGTTATGTGATCGTGCACCGTGTATACGAGACGAACTAAAAGACGTTAATGTAAATTTCCTCCACGACGTCGCAATATCGCGCGCAAACAATTCTTGTGTGCTCGTCTCGAGTAGCTGCATTATGTAAGGCAAAGAACGATATAGTTATCTAATCGATAGACGTAGCTTAATGCTTGCGTACTCGTATAATACGCACGCACACACATCTGTAAAGTGTAAAATATACGCGTACAGGACAATAAACAATCACGAGTACTGTTTCGCAATCGCCGATGCTGCACATTTTGCGATGATAAAAAGCTATTTCGGACATTCTATATTGAACGTTTCGCTTGGAAATTATGCAGCAAACAATGGAATTATACCTACCGCCCCTTTTATCGTGCACGAGGTCTGAATATGAATCGCGTGTAAATTTCAGAAACCGTATTATTAAACCAACGGTATTTTATATGTACAAGAGAGAGAGAGAGAGAGAGAGAGAGAGAGAGAGAGAGAGAGAGAGAGAGAGAGAATTCATTTTAAATAAAATAACGCCACCAAGACGTATATATGGCTCGTGCGATCCGCCGCTCGAAAGACAGACATGGATGGTCCGCTATCTTGCAAGTTCTTTCGCAACGTCCACGGGACGTCGAATCACATCGGTGCGCCGTCGTTATCGTTCGGCGTATCGTCCAGCGGGACCGACGTTGAATTAATTGAAAGCCGTCGTGTCTCGTGTAGCACAGGCTTCGAGCTCCACCGGAAGACGTCATTTTGATCTGGTTTTAATTAAACAACGGACGTGTCGCGTGTCTCGCGATGAGAAGAGAGAGGGAGAGAGAGAAAGAGAGAATCGAGAAGGTCGGATCCGCGGCCGTAACCGACATGGGACGGATGGGGAAAATACGAGACTGGAGGAAAGAGACTTGACGAGCGCGGGAGCTCGTTGGATGATTGAGGGCAACGATGGAACGTTTAACGCGATTAAAAAAACGTCGCATGGCCGATCAAAGGCGTCCGCAACGATCGCTCGTGCCACGCGAAATCCATCGGCCGTCGCTGGTAAAAGGACGACGATCTCGTACAATGTCGCTCGAAAACGTTCGGCCGAACGTTCGCCATGTATAAAAGTGCAACATGATTAACCGAGCGAAAGACTCTATCGGCTAGAACGGTAAATGGGTTGAGTGAAGTTCACGCTTATTTCACGGAAAATAACACGATTTTTAAGTTTTATGTTTTACTTCTTCTAATAAAATATGATTGTACATTTGTTTCGTACATGTATGTGGTAGATAAGATAATAGTATTCAATTCGTATTTTAATATAAAAGTTTATACCCATTTTACAAGATGAAATAAATGAAAAAAGCAAAAATCTATTTTGTATACATATATATACGATTAGTATACTGTTAATATTGATAATTAATATTCGTAGTTAATATTTGATCAATTAATACTGATGGTAAAAGTTCATCTGGCTGAATTATTAGCAGATACAGATAAAATAGCTAATTTAATATTTAAAAGATGTTAACAAACTTTAGCTTTTATCCTCTTTCATGTTGTATAGATTTCGCGGAAATAATAGGACTTTATTCCCCAAAGCTCGTCACCTAATTACAATCAAAACGTGCCGGATATTATCGCGGCTTCGCGCGACGGCTGTAGTTTCGGCGAAATTACGATTCGCCAATGGATTAACGATACACTGCGTCAAGCCGGATATTTGTACAAAGTTTGTCGGTTGGTTATTATAACTAGTTTGCACGTTTGAAATGTGGCGTGCTCATGCACGCGTCGTTGAGTCGATGCCGTAATATGAACCGTGCAAATTGTCGCAACGAAACGAAGATCAGTGGCAACTGAATTTATGGTAATCATACTGCTTCATTAATGAAACTCGACGAAATGTACAAATGATATTATATTGCAATGCGTTGCGGTTATACCGTATTGTAATATAATATTCTTTAGGATATATTAATTAAATTTTATAAATAATTCGTACAGTATAATTATATTACATTAGGTCAGCTTCGTATATAAATCGACACGTTTTTATTACGCGCATATATTCGCGAGTATCTGTTTCTACGGAAAATAAATTTTTACTATTGAAAAGAAATTAATAATATTTTATATACAAATATGAATCGGCGAGTTGTTTAAGTTACATATAGCTGTTATTTTGTAATGAGTGGATAATGAATTAAATGCTATACTATAGATTATAAAAGAAGCCCGTCATAAAAAACAATAATATTTAATTCATTTTTAATTCATTTCATTCTGTTCATTCGTTACAAAATAATAGCTATTTAGTTTCAGTATCTTCTCGATTTTCTCTCTATACTTGGCTTCAAGATTACTTAGGAATGAATTTATCAATTAACCCGATATATATGTGTAAATATGGATGATATGGTATTATATTTTATCATATATTTCGTCTCATAGTTTTACTTATGACACCGTGTGCATTAAGTGTGATCACTTTCAGCATGAATCAGAGGTCTCTCCCATGTCATCCTCGAAAGGGTTGATCTGCGGGAAAACACCCGAATTACCGGCGTATAAGCGCGTATTCGTAGAGGCAGCTTTCGCGAGCCGCCAAACTCAGGCGCGTTATTAAAATTAACATCGCGTCGCATTCGAGGGGAGGCGAATATCATGGGAAACCGCGAGAGCGAGCGAGCGCGCAGCGAGATTTCCGCGAGAGTGTACGACCGTTTTATCTGTACAGGAGTCACGTAACGCCACGGGTATCCTTTCTTATCCCGCGCGAGAAGCGATATGTGATTCGCCCGTGCTTCGTAAGGCCAGAATTATACGTGGACGTTTTATCAATTTTCATTCGTGAAACAGTCCGCGCTAAGATTGGCCGCCGCGTAACCTGGCGAGAGAACCCGAGAAGGCCTCACTCTTTCAAAGCACTCTCGATCTTTGACTCTAGAAAATAAAATAAAAAATATTTCTAGTTCTCGAAGAATTTCCTCGAAAAATTTACAAGAAATATATAAAATTAAATTGTGTGCTTTAATTAATCCTAGGTAGGTCTGCCTCTCATGTCAGCAGAATTTTATTTTTTAAAATTACTCATAAAGTGAGTTATTATTAAAATTATGTTCGGTATTTTGGGATTGTATTCGCCATAACTTTTGTATTGCACGTCACTCGCAGACACAGGCGCGGAGTTCGCGTCAGTGTTGTAGGGAAGAGCGTCCGCACTCCGCGGTGACTCTAAAATTTTGGCGGACGACATGATGCGGTCGCGCATCGAGTTTCCTCTGTCTATAACGTTAAGAGCTGCTCGACGGTACACGGAGGGGACGCGTATCGATAATGCCCGATAGCGTGCGGTGGAGTTTCACGAAGCTGAAACGCGATATGATCGAGTGAGTGGTCCGGCGGTCTCCGGTGGCCACGTCTGCGAGGTATTTTTATGGAAAATTTATTAGCCTGCGGACATCAGATTGCGCCCGCGTCGCGAAACTATAAATTAAAAGCTGTCCCGTAATGCGACGGTCCGTATGTGTGCGCGTGCGTGTGTAATCGCATGCCGCGACTAGAAT